AGAATAGAAATATACAAGGTTCTTATATACTAGTTTGTCTTGTTTTATAAAGAAAAATACATATTCATTAGTAAAAAATAGAGACTGTCATTAAACTAAAACGTGCCTTAGTATTTATTTAACGGAATCTGTAATGTGCGCGTGCATAATGAAACCTCCGTTATATAAATATATTCAGCGTAATATTAGTGTCATCAGCGGATGTTGTAGTCTACTCGTGATTTCTTTACCTTATAATATAACTTGATTTATGAAAAAAACTTATTGAATCGCACGCAGATAAAATTTAACAAACTGTCTTCATTCAAAAATTGCGAGTAACAAGTAATTTTTTTTTTTGTGCTGGCCCCCTCTCCCTGCATAACTTAAAGATAAAGGTATCTATATACCTTTAACTAATAAGAAAAGCAAAGAGTAATAATTAATGAAGTAATTTTAAGAAAAATACAAATAGATTGTTCATTCATTGGCACATTTTTTTTAATATCTCGAAAAAAATGTCTTGATATTTTTGTTATCATGATAATATTTTTATTATAAATTCAGTAAAAAATTCTTAAAAAATCTATATTACAAAAAACATTTATATTCTGTATTAATAAATATGGAATATAGATTTTTTTAAAGTTTTTTACTAAAAACTTTTAAAAATTACTACTTTTTATTAAAAACATTGCAAAAAATTTGTAGTTAAGGATTAATGAACAATTTTTCATGTTGCTAAATATTTGGATAAAAAGTTTAGAGTAAAATTAATTGCTATAAAAAGGTAAGATATATCGCGATGTTACAATAATTATTTTTAACATAAATTCTTTTTTGTAATAAATATCTTTACATATCGTTATTTAAAAGTTAATGTGGTTTTTTTCAAAATTAATTACTTCTTTTATGTTACCGCTAATTTAAAAGTTAAAAAATGGTAAAAAGTAGCTTAACCAAAACAGCTCTACACGTATGTAAAAATCGCTTAAGGCGTACGTAAATCGCTGTAGGCGTAGCGCTTTAAAACAAAGCCTGATATATTCTATCAGGGCTCGAATTAAGCATGCCAAAAAATTACTACTTCTATTTTAAAGTTAAATTTAGTGTGATGTACTTTATGGGTAACATACATTACAGTAAATCTACCTATGAATTAAATCAAAACAACCAGTTACTATAGTTACTATAGTTACTTAGTTACTAAACTTAATAAATATACTTAACATGCTCAAAGACAATTTACTTGCAGAAGTTTTGTAATGTTTCTTTTTATATCTTTTATATTTCTATTTCTATTTATTTATTTAATTTATAATTATATTTATATCTTATATATTGTTAACACATAAAAAGCTTCTAGCTAAAAATTATTTAAACAAGAAATTTCGAATAGAATATGAAAATGCAATTTTTATATATTTTTATTATATTTTTATTTTATTCATAGTAATATCAAAAGAAAACAATTTCTAAAAATAAACTATTTTTTTTTGGAATTTATTTAAAAAAAAATAAAAAAGAACAAGAGAATTTTAGACTAAAATTAGCTAGAGAAAAAAGAAAACTTTAGAATTTTTTAACATTTGCTTACAATAATTATTGTAAAAAAATCTTAAAAATAATAAAAAATTATATAATTCTGTGGACATTAGATGTCGCTGCAGTTTCAATTCAATTCAATTTAATTGCATGGAAACTGCAGTGATGTCTGTAATACCAAGTGGCATAGCAAGGGTCATTCCTGAAAATCATAGATCTAGTGACAGTAACAATATCAAATTCAGAAAATAGTGCAAGTGGGTAAAAAATAGTGTAAGCAAGGTAAAAAATAGTGCAAGCGAGGTACAAAATTTTTTTTTAAGTTTTGAGCATTTTTGATAATTAAATATTTCTTAAACTTTTTAAATACTTTATTTTTTGTTTTGTGAAAAAAGTAGAAACATTCTATTTCAAAGATTAAACAGGTCAAATGAAAACTAAATTATAAATGATTTAAATTTAAAAAAATTGTTCTAATTCTGTTCAAAATTTTTTTTTTCGAGTTTTGTTAAATTCTTAGACTTATGAAAACATAATTCGACTAATTAAACCAAATTTTTTATTGCATAACAAATTGAATGAAAAAAATAAATGAAAACATCAACATAAGAATTTGAATAAAAAAAATTACTTAAATTTTTATCAGTACCCTAAATCTAGAAACTATTAATGTAAGAAGAAGTGGTATCTAATAAGTTTAGTGTTTTTTTAAGTTTACTCAAAAATATCAAGATTAATATTTTGTGACGATGTTTTTACTAATATAAGTAGTACTTTTATAAATATCATTTTAAATATAAATTACTAAAATATAAATTACAATTACTAAAAGTAATATTGTAATTTTAATAAATACGTTTCTTGCACATTAGATTATAACTGCAAGTTGAGCGTTAAATTAAAATTTGAGTTATAACTTAAGCTATTTTAAACCCTGCCAAACAAGAATGTTATGAGGTATCATGTAAATAATATTATGTTAAAAATAGCAGTTACAAACTAATGTATAAAAGACATAATTTTGTACTATCGCAACTCCCTTTACTGCAAAGTGGTGGGCAAGGGGGGGGGGACTGTACTATTTATTATATTCTAGATTTTACTTTATTTTTTCTGTTATATAACTTTACCTTAAATAAAAGACATTTAAAAAAGTGAAATCTTTTATTATTAAGCGAACATTGTCTGCTCGATCTGATCGTGTTAAATGCGTTGATCTCCATAGTACAGAACCTTGGTTGTTAGCTTGTTTATATAATGGTAACTGTCATGTTTGGAATCATATCAGCCAAACTCTTATTAAATCTTTTGAAGTCACAGATTTACCAGGTAAAATCAAAAGATTTTTTTAACATTGTTTCTTTTTGTTTTTTTACTTCCTTCTAAAAATAGTTTAATTTTTTGTTTAGTTAGGTGTGGTAAGTTTGTAGGCAGAAAAAATTGGGTTGTAACAGGTTCTGTAAGTCTATAAATATTATTTTATTTTCTAATATTTTAAAAATGATAACATGTATTTTATATATTTTATGTATTTTTATCTATTTTATCCTAAGGATGACATGATGATTCGTGTGTTTAATTACAATACTTTGGAAAAGGTATGTTTTTATTTTTAATGATCAATATATAATATTACTAATAATAAATATGACATAGATATAACTAGAAGCTTTTTGAGTAATCTTTTAAATTTTGTATAAATTTTTTGTTTAAAGTATGAATAATAAATTACCACAACAAGATATCAAATATAAAGTTTTTAGAAATTTATAATTTATCAAACGTTCTTTTTTTTTTTTTTAAAAAAAAGAAAATATTTTTGAATGTTTTGACTTTATTGTGTGCAGGGCTGTGGAGTCGGAGTTGCGACAATTTTAGTGGAGTTGGAGTCGCTAAAAAATATCGCGACTCCGATAGTAAAGTTTCTTGGTATTGCACGTGCATGTACAAAACATTCAATACACCTTATGTTCGTGCTAAACCTCAAAGAATGTTTCATAAAATTGTCAAAAAAAAATTTTAACTTAACGCGCAATTTTTTAAAGAATTCAAAGAATTTTTCAAAAATTTTGCTTTGGAGTTGGAGTCGGAGTTGGAGTTGTACTCAAATAATTTCAACAACTGGATTTGGAGTTAAAGTTGTTACTTTTTTTTTTACGACTCCACACCCCTGATTGTGTATGTTTAATGTATAATATACTTAGTTTAAAGGGGTGGATTTTTGAATGTTGGATATAATTTCCAGAAATAAATTTTGAATTTCATAGTATAACTTTGAGGAGGTTGTAAATTTTATATGGTCATAATTTTAGAATGTTAGATTATTTTGTATGAAATTTAAAATTTATTAATTAATATAAATTTAGTTGAGATTAGTAAAAAAATAATTTTATCAGCTTCTTGCTCTCACATTTATGCCAAGCATTTTTTCTAATTTTTAGTAATTCTGCTCTTTTTTTTTTCTTTCTTTTTTAATCTTTCTCAATAAAAATCTTGGTAACTATTCATCTTTATTTTTATTTTTTACACTTTACTTTTTTACACTTTACTAAACCTTGGCTTCCCTGGTTTGATGCCTCTTCTCTCTCTATATATATAAGTCTTTCAATCAAATCTACAAATTTAAATTGTCGCATCTTATAACAACTGTCTTCTACCTTTCATTTAACTTTTTACACCCAAAACTAATACTTTGGGGAAGAAATAGATTAGTTCGGTAGTGCTCTGGAAATATGGTGTTTATTTTTTAGGCTGTGTTTATTTTATTATTTACTTAATAATAGCATATCCCTAGTAATTTTTTTACAATTTGAAAATTCAAGGTTCCACTTATACAGTTTAAAGATTGAAGGTTCAACTAAAATTAAAATCAGGATTTCTAGATTTCAGAATAAAGTATAATATAGTACTTGTATTTTTTTACACAGGGGCAAAAAATTTCTAAAAAGTGTCAATAATATATTTAGTCATTTATTTATACCTCAACTGGAAAAAAAATAACTAATAATCATAATGTTTATCTATAATAGTAGGGTACATTTTGGTTAAGCAAAGATTGCATAGTTTTCAGCTAGGTTCAAAATTATCCCAATGCTTAAATAAAGTGATTACAAATTGCAATATCTGGAAATATTTCTGGTCATCAATTTCTTAGTTTATTAAAAATGATGAACGCTGCTTTAATAAAATAGTCAATTTATTATATTCAAAAAATTATGAAAAAATAATAAATTTACTCTGCAAAAATAATAGCAATCAGAATATACATGTGTTAGATCATTTTTTGTTCAAACACCAGGCAATTTAAGGATTATAAATTAAAAAAAAGTTTAAAAGGAAAAATTCGAAAAAAAACAAAAAAATTAAAAGGAAAAATTCAAAAAATTTACACCGTAATTTAAAATCAACCAATAAAAAATTATGCTGAAGTTTTTTGCACATAGTATGAAACATTTTTGTTTAGGGGGAAATTTTGATGAATATTTAAAATTTTTAATGTTTCAAATTAGAATTTAATTAATTGATATTAAAAGTAAGAATCAGGGATTATCTTTTTCAAGATATATCCAAGAATTCCAGATATTTCTAATAACTTTTAGATTTTACAGATTTCTAAAAAATCTTATATAAATATTTTTGCAATCTGTGTTTTTAAACTTTTTAAGTCATTACCCATACAAAAAAGATAAAAAGTTTCAAAAAAAATTAATATAGCCATTAGTTTAAAGTTAAATTAAGACAAATATGAGGCAAAAAATTTCCTGATTTTTTTTTTGCTAAATGTTTTCACAAATGTTCTAACAACAATATGATGAATTTATATGTAATAATGGTTAAATATGAATTCAGCTATTGTAAATGAAGCTATTTTATGTTTATCATTAGATAATACTGAATTAATTGCACTTTTAAAATTTTAGTTTGATATTATAAATTGATTTTTAGAAATTCAATTAAATCTCTTTTTTTAGTGGTGGTAACTTTAATCCAAACAATAATTAATCAAATCATCAATCCTCATATGATATTAATTAATCATGTCAAATATCCATTGTCCATTAACAAACTTAAAAAAAAAAATTGCATTGTTCTTTGTTAGATATTTTCTATCTGTTTGATTTTACCCATATTCAAACAATGCGGATTCCAGATTGGTTAAACGTGTTTTAAAATCGTAAACAATAAGTTTTGTAAACAATTTAAGCTAATATGGCCGTCTATAAATTTGGAAGGTGGCGTTAGTGGTTTTTTTGTAGACTCATACAAGACTTAGTAGTAAAGAGTTACAATGTTTGTGATGAGTAAGGAGGGGAACGGGGGAGAAAGGGTTAAAACTGTCAAAAATTGCATGACATAATTTGTGGACGACCCCATATTTATCAAAACAAATAAAGGAATGTTAGATCATTTCTAAAAATGTAATCGTTATAATAAACATATACGTTTTAAATCTTGTTATAAGTCCCTATATTATTTTTAATTTCTGTTTTAGATATTTATTTTGTTTTCATATTTTCTTTATTTTCATTTTTGTTTTTTGTTATTACTACTAATATTCATTTTTCATTGTTGAATCTTAGAAAACATTAATCTCTTGCACTTTATCATTTTATCAATTGCACTTTTTAATTTATTTTTGCTCTTACAACTTTCAGGAAGATTAAGGATTAAATCATTTATAAAAACTTATAAAAATTATTTGTTGTTAAATTTTATTTATAAACTTGTTGTTCTCATGTTTGGGGCAAGGGTGGGCAAATGTTTTAATGCATTTTTATTCCCAGGCTTATCACAACTTTTTGCAAAGTATCCTTATTTGAATTAAGTATAAATATATAATTATTTAGAGTTTGCTCCATGTTAGCTATCTCAAACACCAAAAAAATTATGAAGTTTAATTAAAAAGTTGATAAATTTTATTTCTATTCTTCTATATCAAATCCTAAAAAAAATAATGGATAATCTTTGACTGCTTGACTCCTAAAATCTATTGTTTATAATGGATTTGAGTAAAAGCTCTTTTTTGAAACAAATACAACAGTGAGTAAAGGATACTTTATTTAGTTCTTTTAACACACTAAGAAGTTCTCAGTGATGACTTAACTTGGGATTATCTTTTTCCGAATACATTCTGGATATTTTTTTTAACTTACAGGATTTCCAAACAGATTTTCTGTTTTTCTGTAAATTATTATAATCTCTCCTTTCATTTATTTTAATTTAAATTGCTCTTAATTAACCCTTTTTCTTAATACGCCTATAATAATAATTGTTAATGATATATAATTTATTTGTTTTTTATTTAAGGTTTTAAAATTTTTTTCAGTGATTCTTCACGAATGCTTTTATATTTTTTATAGTATTTTTGTTGATACTATGTGGTTTTTGATAAAAAAAAATTAGTTTTCAATAAAAAAAATAAGAATAGTTGTCATCTAATGTTGTTTGATCATATTCTTATGGACACATTTATAAAAAAAAAGATTTGATTAATATTTTTAAACTTTTCAGAAAAAAGATTTTTCTTTAATTAAATAGTGAAAATGAAATTTTTATTTTTATTTGATGATTTTAAATACTGAATAATAGCTAATGTATTCAGGTACATGGGTTTGAAGCTCATTCGGACTATCTTCGATGTTTGCAAGTTCATCCAACTCAGCCATATTTGTTGTCAAGCAGCGGTATTTATTTTTTTATTATAAACATATGCAAATAAGAATATATGTCAATGGGGGCCAGCTAGTTTTAGCAAAATCTGAATTTTTTTATTTTTTCTAGTTTTAAAACTCGAATTCACTTTAATTATATAATATTTTTATTATAATTAAATATAAATTAACAAAATTTATATTTAATTATATATATATATATATATATATATATATATATATATATATATATATATATATATATATATATATATATATATATATACTGACTATTGAACTGAATTTTTTTTAGATGATATGTCAATTAAACTTTGGGATTGGGACAAAAAATGGCTGTGTATACAGGTTGATTCAATTACTATTGTAATGTTTTTAATTTTTATTTTTTTTTATATACAAAATATTCGTTATCATATTTGTAGACCTTTGAAGGACACACTCATTACGTAATGCAAATTGTAATCAACCCTAAAGATAATAATCAATTTGCTAGCGCTTCTCTTGACAGAACAATAAAGGTATTTTTATGTTAGTTCATTGTGTAATTTCCTAATTAAAGTAATAGAAATTATGTTTATCTATGATTAATGAAAATAGAAATTATGTTTATCTATGATTAACAAATATAACAAAACAATGAAATAAAGAGAAGAAATGCTTGTCATGGTTGGTATTATTTATTTTGTTAAGAATGAACCGTTTTATGTTTATTTAGTTAAGAATGGACCTTTATAAGTTTCTATGTGATGTGATGTACTAGTGATTTATTTTGATGAACAGATAAAGGCTGATGTTGATACTGATTGATTAACCAAATATTAATATGTTCAAAAATATAAGAGCATACAATATTAAATTTTATAAATTATTTTTAAAAAATAAAAAGCTTACCAATATTCAGGTGTCATCTGTCATCCAAAAAATATCTTCAATAATGAATAGAGTTGGTTTAACATATAAGTATTTTTAGAATAAAAATAATTTTTGGGTTCTAGCATGATGCTTCATTTCATTTCTTTTTTTTTTTTAAAAAAAAGAAGATATTTTCATCTTTTGAAATCAATTTTAGCCAATTATATTTGATTGGCAAGAATTGTAAATGAAATGAAATGAAGCATCATGCTAGAAACACGGTGTTAAAAATGGAATGGATCACTATTTGAATTTAATTTTTGCTATTATTATTACCATTTATAATTAATTATGCAAAGAATTAAGCAATAGTATTGCATAATTAGTACGGATAAAAATAAGAAATAATACCTTAAATTAATTTTTTTTTTTTACTTAAAAGTAATAATTAAATGTTCAATAGGTTTGGCAACTTGGTTCACCACAACCAAATTTTACATTAGAAGGTCATGAAAAGGTTTTTGATTGTAATTTTTTTTTTTTAATTTGAATAGTTATAAAAATAAATATTATTTACAAGTTATTATATTTATTATAATTCTTTTATTAAAAAAAAAACAAAAAATTTTACAATGATAATTTATTGTATTAATAATTTTTTTTAATATATGGTATCAGAAATTCTAAGTTTTATTTATCTTTAATAAAGGAGTGATTAAATCTTCATTTCGAGTATTGGTTTTAAGGGCGTATTGTTATTTTTTTAAGGGTGTAAACTGTATTGACTACTTTCACGGAGGAGAAAAACCTTATTTAGTGTCTGGTGCAGATGATCGACTTGTTAAAATTTGGGATTATCAGGTTAAGATCAAAATTAATTTTTAATAATTTTGTTTCACTTCAGAAAAATTATAATCAAAACTTTTGCCCTTTTTTTTAAATCTTTTAACATTTACCTTGTTAATAGATGCAGACAATTAAATATTTAATTTTTTAATTTGTATTTTTAAAGAATAAAACTTGTGTCAAAACATTGGATGGTCATGCTCAAAATGTGTCAAGTGTTCTTTTTCATCCTGAGCTTCCGATAATTCTATCTGGTTCTGAAGATGGAACTATTCGTTTGTGGCACGCAAATACTCATAGGTTGGAAAGCACTTTAAACTATGGCATGGAGCGGGTTTGGAGCATGTCTGCGATGAAAGGTACCAACAATGTTGTTATTGGTTATGATGAAGGATGCATTATGATTAAGGTGTGTTACTTAATAATATTATTTACATAATATATTATAAATTGTATAATAAATTTTTTTTTTAAATTAACATATATATATATGTTTATTAAAAAAAAAAATTATTATACAATTCATAATAATATATTATGAATTGTTATTATATATATAGGCCTTGTTTTAAATAGAAAATGCTTAATACATTAACTTAATGCGATATTTGACGTCATAAAATTCTCTTTTATTTTTTTATTTTATTTATAAGACATAAATTTTTAATATTATTTGAGTTTTTTTCATTAGTAAATAAGTTATTTATATATAATATAATATGTTTGATATAAGCGTTATTTAAAATAACGCTTATATCAAACATAATTGTCATTCAAGCTTTTGTAACCAATATAACAAATTTACATAAACGTCATTCAAAAGTTACTTTGACTTTTTTTAAAATTAATGTGACTTTTTTTAAAATTAATTACTTCTTTTATCTTACTGCTTATTGAATAATTTAAAAGTAAAAAAATGATAAAAAGTCGCTTAACCGAAATTGCTTACTGCTTACATAAAAATCGCTTAAGGAGTATGTAAATCACTCTACGCATAACGGTTTAAAACAAGACCTGATATATATATATATATATATATATATATATATATATATATATATATATATATATATATATACATGCATACATACATACTTACATAAATAAATGCGTACATACATACATACATTCATACATACATACCTTACATTTATTTAATTTTCTTCAATTATTTAAAATATAGTTGGGAAGAGAAGAACCTGCAATGTCAATGGATAGCAGTGGAAAAATTATTTTTGCAAAGCACAGTGATATTTTACAAGCAAATCTAAAAAACCTTGGTGATACAGATGTTCGGGATGGTGATAGGTTGCCTGTAGCTATTAAAGAAATGGGATCTTGCGAAATTTACCCTCAAACACTCTCTCACAACCCTAACGGAAGGTAAAGTTTAGTTAATTTTTTATTTTAGTAGTGTTGTTATCATTGCTCTTAATGTAACGATGTACTGATGATGTAGTGATGATATAATGATTATTGTAGTTTTTGTATGTTTTATTTGTAGTTTTTGTATGTTTTATAAATATTTTGTTTTTGTATGTGCATTTTTTAATTTTACATTGTTGTTAGTTACGGTATTTTTTTACTTTTTTAAGATTTGTTGTTGTATGTGGTGATGGCGAGTACATCATATACACAGCAATGGCACTAAGAAATAAGAGCTTTGGATCAGCCCAGGAATTTGTTTGGGCTGCAGATTCTTCGGAGTATGCCATCAGAGATAATTCTGTTGTTAAAATTTTTAAGAACTTTAAAGAAAAGAAAGTATTCAAACCAGACTATTCACCTGAAAGTAAGTTAAAATAAAATTTTGTTTTTTAGTCTGATTTATTTATAAAAATGTTCCCTTCAGCACCCTGAACCCTTTTCTTTTCCTTTTTTTTTCTTTTTTTTTTTTCTTATATAATTTTCTTTGATTTTAATTTGGTATTTCTACTCATTAATAGTTAAGTCAAGGAACACAATAATAGTAGCTACACAAAGAACACAATAATAGTTTCTTATGTATATTTTAATTTAAAAATATAGGATAATCTGAATACAAATAAATACAAAAAATTGTGTGAATTATTATTTTGAAAAGGTTATAAAATTTTTTTTAGAGTTGTAAATTTATCAAACAATATTCACTAGTTAAAATATTTTTTCTCTCAAATTATTATTTTTTTATTCTTTTGTTAATTGATGTTTAAATAATTATATTTTGATACAGGTAAATAAAGTTATTTTTCAATTAGGTCAATCACTTAAAAGTAAGCTTGAATACTTTTTAGTGTATTTATAGTTTTTTTTAATTGAAAATTACTAAAAATTATTTAGTTTTAATTAAAATGTTGTTTTTAGTATTATAGTTTTATATTTTTAAAAATTTTTTTAATATTAAATATTTGTATTGTTTTTTTTGTTTTTATTAAAAAATAGAATAACATGTTGATTCTATAAATATTTGAGATAAGCGAGACTGTTTAAAAAATAATTTTTAAATAGTCTTACTTATTTAGATTTTTTAAATAAGTTTACTTGTACAATATATTTCTTTTTAATATTGTCTTACTTATTTAGATTTTTTAAATAAGTTTACTTGTACAATATATTTCTTTTTAATATTGTCTTACTTATTTAGATTTTTTAAATAAGTTTACTTGTACAATATATTTCTTTTTAATATTGTCTTACTTATTTAGATTTTTTAAATAAGTTTACTTGTATAATATATTTCTTTTTAATATTGGTAATAAGAAGTTTTTTTATTGTTTAGATATTTATGGTGGCCATTTGCTTGGAGTACGTTCGTCTGCTGGGCTTTTATTCTATGATTGGGAGTCTCAAGAACTTATTCGTCGAATAGAAATAACACCTAAAAGTGTCATTTGGTCTGAAAATGGCGAGATGTGTTGCATTACAACTGAAGAATCTTTTTTTATACTAAGATATTCTCAAGAAAATGTTTCACTTGCAATGGAGAATAAGGAGGAATTAGTAACAGAAGACGGCATTGAAAATGCGTTTGATGTAAGTTTTTGTCAAATAAGCAATAATAAAGCATAATAATGTACTTAATATATTTACCATAATTAGGATAATCATAATTATGAAAACTTATTTTTTTTTAAAATGTTTTGGCTTGACTCTACAGAATTTAGGGGCTGGATATTTCCAATTGTTTTCTCATAAATTGGTGACCATTATATTAATGAGAACCAATGCTTTTAGTTATATTTAAAATAATAAATGTCAATGCTCAAAGTAGCCATATGACCATATGGTCATTATGGTTATGTGGAGATATATATATTTTTTTCTTAAAGTATAGTTATTAAATTTTTTTTGCATCAGGTTCTTGGTGAAATTGAGGAAGTCGTTAAAACTGGTATTTGGGTTGGAGACTGTTTTATATACACTAATGCAGGTAAGAACATAACTTAACAATTTTTTACAATTTTTTTTTTTACTTTATAGTTCACATTACTATTATTTCTACTGTTGTTTTAGTCTACCTTACTGTTGCTATAGTCTACTTTACTGTTGCTATAATCTACTTTAATGTTGCTTTAGTCTACTTTACTGTTGCTATAGTTTACTTTTGTTTAACTATATCTGAAATTTTTGTTAAAACATTGTGTAACTTTAGTTAATCGTTTGAACTACTATGTTGGTGGAGAAATCGTTACCATATCTCATCTGGATAAGTAAGTTTTGTTTTTTATCTATCTGGATTTGTAAATTTCACTTTATATCCCATCAAAATAACTTTTTGATGGGATTTATGAGTTTATTGTTGTTTTAAATTGACATTTTGTTACTGTTCATTACAATCAGTTGTTTTTAAATTTTATTTTTAGCATTTAAAGTTTTTTTGCATAAGTTTTTGTAATTGAATAACTATCAAATCAATTTTTTTAATTATCAGTTTGTGTTTAAGTTACTTTTTTTATTTAAGTTAATTTTGCTATCACTATTTATTTTCAGTTTTTTTTTTAGTTTATGTTATATAAAAGTTCTTTAATTGATTATAATTAATAATATATAATTTATATTAATTAATTTAATGCATTAATTTTTTTATTATGATTTAATTATATTATATCACTTATTTATAATACTTTTTTATAAGATATGTTAATATTGGTAACATATTGTAATAATAATAACATTTGCAAAATATATGCAAAATGTGGTTATTTATCTGTGTTTATATATGTGTTAAGTATCTGTTTTGCATTTTACTATTTCTAAAGTATTTACCTTTTTATATATTTATATTTAGAAGTATGTATCTTCTTGGATACATTCCAAAAGACAATCGTTTATACCTTGCAGATAAAGAGCTTAATGTAGTTAGCTATAATCTACTTCTCTCTGTTCTTGAATATCAAACAGCTGTTATGCGTAAGGACTTTGATACAGCAAAACAAGTTTTACCTACAATACCTAAAGAGCAAAGAAATAGAGTTGCCCATTTTCTTGAAAAACAAGGGTTTAAACAACAAGCTTTGCATGTATCATGTGATCCAGAACATCGGTAACTTACAGTTAATTAAAACAGAATTTAAATATATATGTGTGTATGTATGTATGCATGTATGTATGTATGTATGTATGTATGTATGTATGTATGTATGTATGTATGTATGTATGTATGTATGTATGTATGTATGTATGTATGTATGTATGTATATATGTATGAATGTATGAATGTATGTATGTATGTATGTATGTATGTATGTATGTATGTATGTATGTATGTATGTATGTATGTATGTATGTATGTATGTATGAATGTATGAATGTATGAATGTATGAATGTATGAATGTATGTATGTATGTATGTATGTATGTATGTATGTATGTATGTATGTATGTATGTATGTATGTATGTATGTATGCATGTATATGAATAAATATGTACAATATTGTGTATGAAATGTCACTGGTAATGTCAAACTAAAAAGCTGTAGACAAAAGGCTTTGGTATAAACTATAATCTATAAGCTATATTGTATATACTACAAGCTATAGGTTAGATACCTATATGAGTATACTTTAAAACAAGACCTACAGCAGTCAAAAATGTATAGTTTTATTTAATAGTGTTTTTTTTTATATTTCTTGAAAAACTACCTAGGTTAAAGTAAGCATAAAAAAAAATAATGTGAGCTGATTATATTAGTATTATGCTGACCTATATATGTAATAGTAGAAGATGTGGATTAGTTAATATCCATTGTTTTCAGATATTAGGTATACAGGCATTGTGATTTATAAAAAATGTGTAATGTTTTGCATATTTATATACGCTAAAAGACACTCCAGTTATTAACTATATTACAGCAAAACCATTAAAATTGTGAATTAACTCAAAAAAGTGTTATTATGTACAAATTTTTTGGGATGCTTGTTTGGAATCCAGTTTTTTTTAATATAAAGTAATTCATTTCTTTTCTCAACAAAACCAAAAATTGATTCTGTCATTTTTTTGTTCAGGTAATTTTATCACCTTGCACCTTGCACCTAGTAGAATTTCAAAAACATTTTTACCCCAAAAGTTCCTAATAACAATTTTTGAAAAAAAAGAAAAAGAAAAATGTAACCCAAATACATCACTTAGTTTGAAAACTAGCTTTATTGGAAGGCTTAATAAATAATAATAATAATTGAATAATAAAAACATAACTTGAACAAATTAAAATAAAAATATTAATTTAAAAAACTTATAAAAACTTTTTATTAATTAAAAACTGTTTAATATAAGTTATAAGTAAATTTTACCTGCCCTTTGGTTAAAAAGCGATTTTTTTTTAATTTTTACATTTCGTTTAACGTTTTATTTATTTTTTAATTAAAATAAACAAATACACAAATTCTTTTTTTAAACCAACTTCTTAATTTAAGTAGAAAAATTGACTTTAGTACAAAAGTCTCTAAAACAAGGCATAAGTTTTATATTTAAAAATATGATAAATAAATGAAACCATTTTTAAACTTAGGCTAGTATATGTAAATTTTGTTAAACTATTCTTTACCTTTTTCCTTTTGTTTAGATTTGAGCTAGCAGTTCAAATAGGAGATTTGATAGTAGCATACGAAATTGCTTTAGAAGCTGACGTAAGTTTATGTTTTACAATTAACAGGTTAAAGTGACAAAATTATGTCTCTTAATTATTTTTAAATGAGCAAATTTTCTAAATTACATTTCTAGACTGAACATAAATGGAAACACTTAGCTGAGCTGGCCATTCAGAAATGTGAATTTGCTTTAGCTCAAGAGTGCCTTTATAAAGCTCAAGATTTTGCTGGTTTGTTGTTATTGGCTAGTTGCTCTGGTGATCATATTACAATGGAAAAATTAGCAGCTGAAGCAGAAAAAAGTGGAAAATATAATGTTGCATTTTTGGCATATTTTTCACTTGGAAAGTATGAAAACTTGTTTTTAATTTCAGAGTTAAAATGATTAATTTATAATCAAGGTAAAGCCTTGAAAATATATAAAATTAAATGTTACAAGTTATAAAAAAATAGCTTTTTTAACATAGACATAAAACTTTAAATCATTAAAAATTTGATTGGGTACATAAAGTATTTTAAATTATTTTTGTTTATAATTTTTAGTGACAATTAATTAAAGAGTTAGATTCATTAAAAGTAAATTTATTAGTTGGGTGGATCCCATTCACGAGTTTCATCTACAGTTGTCCATTAATTTTAATTGGATCTTACAACATCATGATTTTTTTATTATCTTCCTACTTTCCCCTTTTGGTTTATGTGTGTGTGTGTGTGTGTGTGTGTGTGTGTGTATATATATATATATATATATATAAATATTGTATATATATTGTATATATATTGTATATATATATATATATATATATATATATATATATATATATATATATATATATATATATATATATGTATATATATATATATTATGTATTATTATTTTTTTATTTTTCTAATTATACAAGCGTGTGTATATATAGATAGATATGTTTTATTTTTCTACATATTTGTTTATTTTAAGTTCAACATCTTTAGCTTGATCTGTTAGAGCGCCTGTCTGATTAAATTAAAAGTTTTTGGTTCAATTCCTGCTCTGAACATATTACGCTAGTATTTTATGTTCTATTTCTTGTGGACCTTGCGCATTTATCATCATTTTCCATTAGAAGTCTGAGTTTATTATTTCTATTACATGTCTAAATTATCATTATAATTATGTTTTGTTCTGAACATCTGTTTAAAATATCATTTCAATTTTATTATCCTTTTTCCTTTCCTAATTTTTTTCTTTTTTTTTTACTCGATCTAGTCTTCTGATACATATTTTTGCATTTTTTTAGCAAAAATATAAGACTTTAAATTAAAGAAGAATTTAATTGGATCTTTTAGTTAATTTTAAATTTTTTTATTTATAATTTTTATGTACTTAAAAACTAATATAACTTATTTTAAGATAAGTGGTCTTGTTTACAATTTTAAAGTATAATAATTTGATTTTGTTATTTGAAATTTAAAGAAGTTTGAATGGGTAATTTTTGAATTATAAAGAAGTTTGATTGGTTATTTTTAAAAATAAAAAATTTAACTTTTTTTAAATTTTAGAGTGGAAGAGTGCTTAGAGTTGCTATGTAAATCAAAGCGCTTACCTGAAGCAGCATTTCTTGCCAGGACTTATTTACCTAGTCAAGTATCTCGAATTGTACAAATGTGGAAGGAAGATCTTTCTGAAACTAACAAAAAAGCTGCAGATTCACTTGCTGATCCAACCCAATACAGCAATCTTTTTCCTGACCTTCAAGATGCAATTAAGGCTGAACAAGTACTGATTCTATCTTTTATGATTTATTTCTTAATAGTGATAATAGTGATGATGATAATGATGATTACGATTGTGATTGTGATTTTTTATTAAGTTTAATCTAATTTGTAGATGCTTAAAGCAGAGAGAATAATTCTGAGACCAGCATATGAGTATAGCAGTCTTACGGTGGGTTTCAACTCTTCTTTGCTCAAGAAAAAAATATTTACTGATTGAATTCCAAATGTTAACTTCTATTTGTTTTTATTTTTCATTGTTTTTAGAGCAATTTAGATAGAAATGCTCTTGAAGAAGTTCGACTTGCAGAAGAAACAGGGGATTTGCAAGCTATATTGGTTAGTTACAATGTTTACAGATTACTTGTAATAGTCAACAGTTTACTTGTAACATGGTCATTTAAAATTCATAATTGCATTCATTACAAATTATCAATTTTATAAAGAGAATTTGTATATGCATTTAGATATTATTCTACATTTATATACAATAATTTTTTGATATAAAATATCTAGAGGCTTATTATTATTTATTTTTGTCTATTTGCCTTTTTTATTCTCTGCTTCTCTTTTAAAATTTAGTTTAAAATTTAACTCATGCAAGCACAAAAACAAACAAAGCACTAAAACAATAATGATAAATTTTTATATATATTCATTAACATCAGGAGTTATATACTCATATATGTTGTAAATGTCATATGAACATGTAATATGCTTTCAATTTGTGTATTCATATATGTAATAAATGTAAAAAAAAATTTAGAATAAAACTCATGACCTAACAATCAGTGCCAGTTTTCCTCAAGTAAAAGTTGCAAGTCCTCCTCTAGTAAACGTTCCGAGTTCCCCTCCAGTAAATGCTCCGAGTTCTCCTCCAATAAAAGTTGCCAATCTTCCTCAAGTAAATGTTGCAGGTCCTCCTCAATCAAAAGGAATCAGCAGTACTCAAGTAAATTCTACTCAAATGTCTAATTCCTCTGTTTCGACACCTTCAAAGGAACCTAAAAGTAGAAATGATGACAGTATAGTAAGTAAAGTATGAAAAAAAAATTGTTACACATAAAAATAGTTGAACTTTGGCATTAAATTATTCTTTCGATTTTTTTTCCTATTTAGGACCTTGATACTGAAAGCGATATTGATGATGCGGATTTAGGGGTTAGTTTTGTGTTTTAATTTCAATTCTTTTAAATTAGTTTTCTTATTAATTCAAGAAGTGAATTTACTCAAATTAAACAGATTGCAAAAATTTTTGCAAAAAAACAAACAAACAAATTTACTGAAAAAATATTTTAAAATAGCAAAGTTCTTTCATAAGACTCTCACAGCTTTTATGTTTTAAATATTATTTGTATCAAACTGATGCTAATCCAGGTAATACAAATACTGGATAAAAATAATAATTTTATATATAAAAATAATATTTTTATATATAAAAATAATATTGTTATTTATAAAAATATTTTTATTTATAAAAATAATATTTTTATTTATGAAAATAATATTTTTATTTATAAAAATAATATTTTTATTTATAAAAATAATATTTTTATTTATAAAAATAATATTTTTATTTATAAAAATAATATTTTTATTTATAAAAATAATATTTTTATTTATAAAAATAATATTTTTATTTATAAAAATGATATTTTTGTTAATAAAAATAATATTTTTATTTAAAGATAATAAATTTGAAAAAAATAGAAGTATAAACAAAATTAAAAGACAAGGTTTTCTTGGTGATACTCACAGTCCAAAAGTTACATGTGTTAAATGTAAAATTAGTTTTGTCCTGAGCAAGTTTTTTTGTATCGATTTTGTTTTGAAATATAAAAATTTTTACTCAGGAAAATAAAAATTGGCAATACCAATTGCTATTTTTTTTAAACATTTTTATTTAATAATATTTTTAAGTTTCTTTATAAATTTTATATTTGTTAAAATGTAAAATTATTAAAGTGTTTTGATCAAAAAATGAGCTTGCAATATACTTCCAATTGCAATTTACTTTTTGCAATATACTTTACTAATTGCAATTTACTTGCAATATACTTTATTACTTCACACAGATCCTCATGTATCTGTGTGCAGAACTGAATCAAAATAAAGGTTTTACTATTTAAATTTTTTTTTCAAAATTTAAGATTTTTCAGTTTTAAATGATATAGTGAGTTTTACATGTTTATGAGTTTCACTCGTTTATAAGCTTACCATTTTAAATTTAAAGATACTATTATTTAACTGAGTTTCGTATATACTTATCTTAATGATAATTAGGATAGACTACAGCCGTGGCGCAGTGGTTAGAGTTCTGGCTCAGAACCAAGAGAACCAAATTTTGACGCTGGCTCTAGCCCAAAAACCACATTGGCAAGTGCTCCTCTAGTAAAATGCTCTTCTGTGGTGCTCTGTGGTAACACCGTAAAAACTTCTGGAAGCACCTTAACCACAAAAAAATAAGTTGCTTTCTTAGCTATTAAGCTTTTTAAACTCAGTTAAGAAGTATTATTTTACAAGTGAAGCAATTGACATTTATTAAATGTGTCTGAGCACATCGTTAGAATAAAATTCATAATATTTTCTGAGTTAATAATTTATTATTTATATTAAATAGAAACATATTATTTTGTTTTAAATATGCGTTTGATTATTATAATAAAGATTTTAATAATTTTTCTCACATTTTGGTCGAGTTGTCATTTATTTTGATCTGTGAAATATCGCTTATTGCTTATTAACACAATAGAATTAGCTACTAATGTTTTTTTCTGTAATACATAGATATAATAGTACAACACCTACTATTATTTATATATTAATATACTAATATTATTTGCAAATAAAAAGTATATATATCTATATGAATAAATACATGTGTATATATATATATATATATATATATATATATATATATATAAAAATTACTGGTTTGTAGAAAGTATGAAAAGTAGCTTATGATGGTATAAATATCTTATATAAGATGAAAAGATGGCACTTAAATATATTGAAATTCATTAAAGTAGAAATTTCAAATAATTGTTTCAAATTTTATTTATATGCATATTTTGAACAAAATGATTTATTCAATGATGACTAACACAGTTTCAGATGCAATCATTCATGTGAAACTATGTTGTATGTTTTTATCTTTAAAGCTAAGCAACTCTAAAAAACTCATAGTAAATTTCAAATTACTGATTTTGATGTTCAAATATTATGGTTTTTTAACTGATGCTTTGAACTTAATAAGCAACTATTTTCATAATAGAATATTTAATAATATTTTATAATATTTAATATATATTTATATATTTAATATATATTTTAATTTAATATTTTAATTTAATATTTAATATATATTTAATAATATATTATAAGCAACTATTTTCATAATAGAATAATTAATAATTTTCATAATAGAATATTTAATAAGCAACTATTTTCATAATAGAAAACTATTTACAAAAGTTAAAGATGCATATTCTAACGAAGAACAAGTTAGTATCAGTAAACCACAGGGTTCCATTTTAGGACCACTTTTTTTTTGATTTTTATCAATGGTCTACCTGAATATCTGACATTATTTGAATCAACATTACTAGCTGTAATGACCTGTAAAATACGGGTCTTGGTAAATCCATTTTACACCGACCTTTTCTATACTTATTCCTTACTTCAATATGTTTTAGTAAGAGGTAGAAAAATAATTAAATACATATATAATAACAATTCTTATTATTTACTTTTTAAAGCTATAAGATAAATATTCTATTATATTTAACTTTAAAAACTTTTAACATTTCGGTAGATGTTGCGTGAATCGCTAATTACCAACGAATCAGATATCAGTACCAGCCTAAATAATATTTAGAACACCCGCTTTAATAATTTTAATAATTTAATAATTTCGTTTTATTTCAATTCTTAAAAAAGATCAAAATATAAAAATCTTTGTTTGAGTTAGCGATTAAAAACGATTAATCAACACTTTACAACTTCTGTAAACTTTTATTTATATATATATATATATATATACATATATGCATATATATATATATATATATATATATATATATATATATATATATATATATATATATATATATATATATATATATATATATATATATATATATATATATATATATATATATATATATACATATATGTATATATAAAACAGGGGCGGACTTTATTATTTTTTTTTATAAGTTTCTATCAAATTTTTTTAGGCCATCAGCAGCTTATTTCATAGATCATCCAGGTTATTTTATGAAAATGTGGAAAATTGTTTAGGTTTGGGTTAGATATCCAGATTACATTCTCCTCTTAATTTTGCTTTTTGCTAACTTGTTTCTAATTTTATTATGAGTTTCTAATTTTAGTATGAGTGATGAATGTAAATGCTTAAAAAGCAAATATATTACAAAAATGTATTCCTAAACTTGTATATGTATAGAAAACGTTTTGACTATCCAGTAAAACTAAGTTAAGAAAAATTCGGAAAAGATCTCTGTTATTAGGACTCTTGCCCTGTTAGTTTTAAATAAAAGTTTCCATGTAAAATCTTTTTTCTATAAAAAAGAAAGTTATCTCTTTAATGCGAACATTTAATCTATTACTAAGCAAACTCTAACGTGACATACGCGCGCAACAAACTTCAAACGGTGTTTTCGTGTTTTTAGATATTTTATAAAACTTTTAAGAAAATTTTCTCCCTTTTGTTTGTTATAGTATATCTTAATATATGATATGCGTATAATCTCTATATACCTTTAGAATTGCTTTACTTTGACAAAAAAATAAAGTGAGAAAACTAAAAGGTTTAGACCCACGCAAGTTAATTCAACCACTTTGGCACGCTACAATATTATCTTTTAAGAGTTTAATAAACTAAAGACTTATTGAACTTTATAAAATGGCATTAAATGCTTTATAAAAATTCATATAAATTAAAATTAAGAAAATATCGCCCTAATAAAGTTTTCAAGTAAAAGTAAATGTGTAACATTTAATGTAATTTTTAATAATTTAAATAATTTGAAGTTAATGTCAGATATTTGCATAGACTTTCGTTCAGATAAAATACCAATGATAAAGGGTTGTGGTTTCAAAAAAAATGCCTAATAGCTTTGTAAAATTAAAGATATTTTTATTTACACATTTATTTACAAATTAAAAAAATATAACAATTTTTAATTGTTTTCAATTGTATGCCTATATTGAACAAATGCATCATCTGATTAATCTAAAAAGTAATCGAATTAAAAAAATAAAAAAAAATACACATCTATTAACTGGAAATCAATTTATTTATACATAATAACAAGACAAAATATATAAAAAAAAGTATGTATTTATAAAAAAAATTTAACTAAGTTTGCATTATCAATTACCAATTGGTAGATTAACCAACAACAAAAATACTAATTAAAGATGCTGCATTTTTTTTTCCACCACTCTCTCTCTCCCCATACTTTACTTTCTACAGGATCAACACTTTATTTAAAAAAAAAAAAGAGAGAAGGAAGAGGGGGAGGGGGGGGGGCAAAATTTTGCCATAAGTTTATGCCCACATCTTGTGGGCCCTCTATTTGATCTGCAATAAGCTGAAAAAGCATTGTAAGATGTTTAAAATAAAAAAATTAAGAGATAAAAAAAAGAGTAAAAACATTAGAGATTAACATTACAAACCAATTTACCTGTTGCTGATATTTTTTGTTGAGCATTGATAAAAATAGTCAAAATCTGTAAGAAAAGACATTTATTGCAAAAACAAGCAGCTATTACAAACTATTACACAAAATAACAAAAATATAACTATCAGCGCAAAAAAAATTTGCAATTTGATCAGAAAATAAAAAAATTTCTTACCTTGATTGTGACTAATTTCCTTTAAAACTATTACCTAATGATCAACTTGACAAATTTTAAATGACTAAAGTTTACTAAGTTTATTAAGTAAACCATATTTTAACAGTAGACAAAGTAAGCATATGATAGTTGGTATAGATAGTTGGTAGAGCACCTGAGTAGAACTAAAGAAATAAATTTGCTATGTGATGCATATTATACCCTTGAGTTCTCACCTAGCCTGCTTTCTTTTATTTTGATTACAATTAATCTCAGCTTGCCCAGGCTCATTTCTTCAATTTTGACGACAATTTATCTCAGCTTGCCTAACCTGGTTTAGGTTTAATAATTTCACTTCTTAAATTATCAGACATTATTAGGCATCAAAGGAGTGTGTGTAAAAATGATGCTTAAAATAATACAAATTGAACTTTTATTTTTAGACTGAGTTTTCTTTCTTAAACTCATCTAAAATACAGTGTAAGCAAATAAAACAGCATAATATAATATTCTAATTATATTCTAATCAATTAGTCATATTTAAATTAGATGTTTTAAAATAGTTAAGCAATGTGTAAATATAACAAATTTCTATCAAGAACTTAAACTAAAGTTATAAATAGATATAATCTTTTTAACTGAGTAATGTTATATATTTAAGGTGGTTGTTATTAATTATTGACAAAATATTATTAGTATTTAATAAAAAAAAACACAGCAAATAGTAGTTTAAAAATAATTTTTTTTACATATAAGAACTCATAAATAAAGCAAATTAAAAAATTAAAAAGCCTGTAAGCTCAGCAAGTACTGCTAGCATGGAACGATAAAATGTAATTATCCATCATAAAAATTTTCATTATTTTGAAAAGCATTTAATGCAAGATTTACGATAAATAAATACAATACTAAATACTCTATAAACAATCAATATTTGCTTCAAATGAAGTAACTTGGAAATATTGAATATTCTTTAACTATTTTAATTTTTTTTTATAAATAACACATAAATATAAATAAATATATAAATTAAGAAAAATTTATAAATTAGAAACTTTACAAATACAACCTTATTTTTGTAATATTTATTTAATGACATACCTTGTAATAAATGTTAAGCAAACGATCAAACGATATGGTTTTTTATATAAAAACAATTTTTTTTAAACTTCTTTAAAATAAGGTATTAAACGATCTTTTTCATGAAGTAACATGAAGTTGACTATTTGAAATGCAAAGGTTTTGGAGATAAACACTAACTTTATCAAGAGTTTGACCTTTGAAAAAAGCAACGTTTTCTAGAGTCATCATTGTCTTCTAATTTAAAAATTACAGATCAATATACTTTAAATACAATTGACAAAAGACATGAATTGTGTTATTGTTGTAATGCATGAATTAAATAAATTACCTGAATTTAAAAGTTATTTTACTAATTCAAAAATAACATAAGATTCATCCTTTACTACAAAAGTTATTGAAGAAAAATTTTTGATTTTATTCCTAATTAAGCTGATGAAGCAAAGTTTTGCGATTAGTGATTAAGAAGATATTGACAGATTATTAAGATTTGAGAGTACTGTATCGCTTGGGTTTAAAAGTATAAAAAGAAGGAGCATGCAAAATCCTATTTATAATAATTGGTAAAAAAGTTTGTGTAAACGCGCACGAGTGGACAGCGGCAGCGGTAAGTTAAGTATTAATTATTCATAGATGAGTTTTTTCCGGGAATTCCTGCAATTCCGAAAATTCACTTAAAACTCCTTTAAAAGTTATATATTTTTACTTAAAGTTTTATAAACAACAACTTTTGCATTTAAACAAATATGTTTTCTATAGTTAAAATTTTCACGAGATCATTTTTTGTAACAATTTTTTTTCTTTTTTTCGCTTTTTAATTTATTCAAATTAACTTTTTCAAATATTAGAAATTCCTTTTTGTAAAAAGTTAAATAATCTGAATTCCGTTTTAAAAGTTTACGAAAGTTTTTGTTTTTAGTTAATACGATCAATTTTTAATAAAATAATTTTCAGGGATTTTCATCAAAAAAAATTTCCGGGATTTTCATAAAGTTAAGTACTCATCTAAGATTATAAGAAATTTGCAGATGACACAATACTTATAACAAGTGATACCATTATAAACCACCTTACAACAAAGCCTCAGTCAACATTTAATAATTTTATTGATTAGTGCTATGCTAATAAGCTCAACATTTGGGATAAAACTAAAGCAACAATTTTAAGAATTAAGCAAACATCTAAAATAGTATTGCTAACATCAATCGTATAAAGTAATAAGTTTAAAATTGAAATAGTTAATAGATTTTCTTTGCTTAATGTCATTATAAACAGTAAATTACATGAAAGAAAACACATAAAAGAGACAAAAGCAAAAGCTTATAAAAAATTATACTCAATAACTAATATATTGAATCTAGCTTTCAAATTTCGTTTACAATTTTTCAAAGCATTCATTCTACCTAACTTTGATTACTTTTCAAGTCTTATAATTTACTACATGAAAAAAGAAATACAAAGCCTTAGCCATACTATATGATTTTATTTTTACTTCCCAAAATTAAAATTCAAAACAAAGATATATTTCAAATCAATCAACAACTTAAAGCATACAACCTAGAAAGTTTTCATCATCGATTTTTATGCAGAGCACTAAAATTTTGCAATGAAATTGTTTTTTACATAAAACCAATGAACTTATTCAAACAATTTTTCCTCAGCCATGGTGAAGGCAACTTTATTTTCCTAATGGTAGTATCATTTTAAAAATGCTCATCCCATCATCTGCAATACTAGGAATCTCTAAAAAAAAGGCATCTCTTTGTAAAAAATTGTTGTTTTTTTTTATCCATAATAAATTATTAAATGACATTATGGCTGTTTGAACCACACAAGTGTGTAATCATAGGCATAGTAACCATAAACTTGTGTGTTGCCATAGACTTGAAAAAATACTAATGTTAAAATAAAAATAGTAATAATAATATTAATAAAATGAATAAGTACTGATTGTTTTGAAAATTATGTTTGAAAACTATAATTTAAGTGATCTGATTCCATATAAGAGTTATTCAGATTATTGTAAAATTACTTGATGAAGATTTTTTTAAGGAGACTTGAAACTTGAAATCAAAAGTTTATTATTAAAATGGTTAAAAAACAAAAAAAAAAGCAATTTTTTTAATATAATCTTTCAAATCATAGTGTATATAGTTAAGAATTTTTTAAATAATAGTTTTTATTAATATTATTTCCTTATAAACAAATACAATAATTAGGTATTTATGAGAGTTTACAAAAGCCCTTCAAAAAAGAGTTTATTAATTGAATACCAACTAAATTACTTATATAGTAAATTATATGTGTATGTATCTAAGTAAAGTTTTATTTTACAAATAGAGTGCTCAATGTTCTTAAAGAACAAAGCCATGATAAATTAGTAAAAACACTTATCTAAGTATCTTTTACTATGTATATGACAATTATTATATTAGTAATAATATAATAATTGTATATAATATTATATATAATAATTAATATAATTATTATATTATTATTTTTATATTTTTAGGAACATGATGTTGACGATCTCGACCTCGACGATATGGATGATGATTTAGAAAATTAGTTTTTTTTTTATTCGAAGTTCCTATAGTTAATTTTTTTTAAATGTTTTTGGAAATTTACACACTATTTTATTGGTTTTTGCTTCTAAACCCTTATATGATTTTTTTTTTTTTTGAGTGTGTGCGAACCTATATTCTTTTACTATCATATATTATTTATTTTGTTACACCTTATTATGTTACATTTTTTGACAAAGAAATATAAAATCTACTTAGTTTCTGTTGTTATTTTTCAGCTTCCTTTTTATTAATTTTACCTTAAAACAACCTTTACTTTGAAAGTCACTGAAACCATCTTCACATTAGTTTTCACCACAACATCAACTACAACATCACTTGATCATCAACCACTACTAAAATGTAGCAATCATTATATATTTTATATATATATTATATATTATATCATATATTATATATATATATATATATATATATATATATATATATATATATATATATATATATATATATATGTATATATATATATATATATATATATATATATATATATATATATATATATATATATATATATAATCATTATATATATCCTTGCTACTTTATTACCTTTCTTATTATTTAATTACCTTTATTATTAACAGCAATAGTTGTTATGTAAAGGTAGTTTCCAAGCCTTTTTTTTTAGTAGATTTTAGAACTTTTAAAACATCCAATTTGAAATGATAGTGTTTTTTTAAAGCCTAAAAAAAAATCGAGTATGAACACCATGACTTTTTTAAAATGAATGCAAAAAGAGTTAACAGTGGAAGAAATTTTAACATGAAAAGATGGATTGTACTCAAAACTGTTGTTTAAAAAGACATGGGGATTATTTAGTGTCGGCTTTCTCATCAGAAGATTTAGAGACTTTAAAGCAAATAATAAAAGTAAAATGTTCAAATCCATTTCGGATACTGGATTCTTATGGAAGGTAATTTTTTTATTTATATAAGTATACATAGTTTTTGATCATGAATGCATTTACATGATTTTTAACACCAAGCATTAGATATAATATCAGTTAAAATCTTAATGAAGCACGACCAAGTTGTAGAAATTTATACTACAAATGTAGTATAACCACATGTATGTTAAATTGTGCATCACATGCTACTTTTGGTTGCTGAGGCAGTTTATATAAATACAACTTTGCTATAAAAATAAGCTAAGTACTAATTTGCACCCTTACCAAAGCATGTATCCTAATGTGGTAGTGGTGTAATAGTAGAGCGCTCGCCTCATAAGCAAGAAGTTCCTAGTTTGATCTCCACCACATCCCTGGTAATACTGCACTCAACCTGTTTCTCTGTGCTGCGGCCTTTTTTTTCAAAGTTCATGTTGAGAGTTGAGAGAGGGTTGTTACCACAATTAAAGTAGCCTCATGACTGTAGTGGCCTTCATGGCCTTGGGGAGGTGAATTAGCAAAAGAAAGAAAAAAATTTCATAAGTGGTTATTTTAAAACTGATAAAAGCGTATAAAAGTTGTTCAGAATCGTAGTTTTATTCATTCAAAGTATTTCAAAGTATGAATTGAATAACTGATTTTTTTGCAGTTGTTTTTATACTGAATTGTTATTTTTAATTAGATCAATTTTCCACATTGTTGCATCGCTTGGAAGAATAGATGTCCTGGAATGGTTGTGCTCTGAACAGAAATCAAAAAATGTTTTTCACATAAAAGATAAAGAGTCTGGTTATACTGCTCTTCACAGAGCTCTTTATTATGGAAACATTGATTGCGCTATATTGCTCTATAAGGTAGGTATGATTGTTTGATTATATATTGATTATTTTTCTATAAATAGGAAAAATCAGGACAAAATGGGAGAAAAGTCATCAAAATACTGACAAAAATAACTTGAGTTAAGAATACTTTTTTTTTAATGACAAAATACAATACAAAATACCAACTGACTAAGGAAGAAGTCAATAGCACTTAATAAGAAAAAAAAACTGTTCAACATTGACAAGCTGACCTCTGTCAGCTTGTCAATGTTGAACCATTGTGACAAGCTGACCTCTGTCAGTTAAAGTAAGAAAAGTAACTTTTTTCTTTCCATAAGTTGCATCAATTTTACAGACTTACTTTGGAACTGTAGAGATACTTGTTATGTATTTCTTATTTTGTAACTCTTGTTTTGTCACAGTTCTAGCTTTTCAACATCTAGCTTGTTTGTATGTGCAGCTTTATTTAGTTAATTAGAAAAAAGGTTAACAGCCAGTTTTTTTTTCTTTTGTAAACACCTAAATAAAGTTTTAACTAAAATATGTTTACATAAGTATCATCTCATGACATTAGAATTATAAGATTTTAACTAAAATTTGTTTATATAGGTATTATCTCATGACATTAGAGTTATAAGGCTTTATCTGACAATTTTTATGTTGTATTTAATTTTTGATTATTTGCAAAGAACTTTTCCTCTAATTTGATTCTTGAATCTAATGGCCATACTCTTTCAGTCATTCCATTCAAATAGATTAACTTATTGTTAGACATTCGAATCATTTTGAAAATTAAGGAAAAGTTCATATATCAAAAATGTATAAACAATAAGCAATACTAACATGTAGCAATATCAAAGACCTTGACAACAAATTTGATATGCTTCTATATTTATACTGAATAGAAATATTGATTTCTAATTAAATGTATATACTGTTTATGAAATGAAAATGTATAAATTTATATTTATAAATCACTACTTAAGTTTGACGTTTTCAGATAAATATTTTGTACCTAAGTCCGCAATTAAAGGGGTGTGTGTATACACATTAATGTATGCTTTAATGTGTTAATGCTTTTTATAGTTTTTACTACCAATACCTTATTAACTTTTAGAAATTAGGTGACTGGGGATTTTATGATATTCAAGGAAATAGTCCACTTGATTTGGTTGTATTGGATTCACCAAGATATCATAGGAAACCTGAAGGTTATCTTTATTATATATATCTTTATTGTTTATGCAATATTGCACATCTTCTTTTATTTGTTTTGGTGAAAAATTTGTAATAAAGCAAGGATAAAAAAGTTAATTTTATCATCTCTTAACTCTTTCCACATGGTATTAATGGATTTTGTTCACTGGTGGCCGATGTTATATTTTCATTGCAAACAGAGCTTTTAACGTGATTTTTTTTTTTTTTTTTTGTGTGCAAATTATTGCATAATGATTAGCCAATCAGAAACAGTTTATTATTCAGAAGTTTTGTATATTATAAATCCAAAATTTAAATGGAACAAAATTCTTATTATAGCCTTTTAAATGAGGTATTTGATTGGGCTTGAAGATTTTGCCAAACCTTACAGCACAAGCCATATTTAACCTATGGGAATTTTTAAATATCTACAAAAGTTTTGCAGGAAAAGACAAAACTGTGAAGTGTGTATAAATCACTCAATAAAAAAAAGATAAAAAGATTTTTTTTTTTCGGATGCATCTAAGTGCAACGTCGATGTTCACTTGACAGAAGCAATAAAATCTTTTGCATATATATATATATATATATATATATATATATATATATATATATATATATATATATATATATATATATATATATATATAAATTAGTAGAAAATCACTCAACAAAAATTTATTTCATTTCACACTGTGTTTCAAATTAATAAAAATTCTATTTATATTAAAAAATTAAATTACAGGAAGTCGGAAATGTAAATTTTCACACATTTGTGGAATTTGCTGACACTATTATAAAAAGAATTCTTTAGAAATGATTACTTATGCTTTTTTTTTTAAATATTTTTAAAAGGAGGATTTAATGTAACTATTATTTGAGCTCACATATTTTTATAGTTTTTTTAGAAGAAACTTATTTTTGAATTTAGAAATCAATTCCGATTTTTTGTTTAATAAACCTTCTTGGTTTGCATGTGTAATTATTTCAAATTTTTCTTGTAGACATAGTATGCATTTTTTAGAAATATTGTTGTATGCAGGCGCTGTTTTAAGGATGGACCAATTCAGTATAAAATCATCAATATTTTTATCTTTTATTTCCCATATATATTTTGACATCATGGTGTCTTTTGAATACTTTTTATTTTTAAAAGATTGCTTATGATTGGCAAAACGTTTTTTCCATTCATCCTCTGTTATGCCAATATATTGTTTATCAGGTACATTCTTAGAGGAAACAACACATTTATATACCACATTTTTTGTATAAAAATGTGGTATATAAATTTTAAACACAGTGTAAAATGAAAAAAATTTTGTTAAGCAATTTTCTACTAACTTATAATTGCTCTGTTCTTTTAAGAACATTGAGCACTCTATTCTGTAGAATATATTTTAAAATATTTTAAATATAGGATAGCTCAGATTAATTTATTTATTATCATTTAGATCATTTAGATGTTTCAGCAGATAGTAAATGTGTAAATAAGATAGTAAATGTGTAAATTTTGATTAGGTAGCTTGTGCTGACATGCTTGAAAAACTAGCTTCTAAAATTGGTACACAAAAATGAAATTTATTCAAAACTGAAAACTTTACATTAGCTAATTAAATAAACCAATCTTTTTTGATTGTTTAACAACCCTTCATTTTAAATTTTAAACTTTTACAATTCTCTTAGGAATATAACCTTTAGATTTTTTTAAACTAAAGGCGTTTATAATCCCTCACTTATCTACACAAAAAAAGCATTTTCATTTTTCTAACCAGCTTTTCAGAATGTAATAGACTTTTAATTAACCTTAAAACAGATTTTACATCAAACTTGATATCATTTTCAGTTGAAACTTTGCATATATATATCATAGCTCAGATTTTTATAAAAATAACTTTATTTTAGAAGTATGATGAAATTTTAAGTGTTTTTTGAATTTTATATTATTATAATATTATTTTTCTCCTTTGTTGCTTTGTTACCCCAAAACAATGAATCACTTGCCAGGTCATAATGAATGATATTTTCAACAAAAATATTTTGATATTCTGATTGCCTCTTTAATATAAAGTTTTTACATAAGGCTTCATTATAAACATTGAGATCAACTTTTGTATAAAAATATTTGTAAAAACCCCTAACAAATTTGCGTTTTTCTTTTCTGCCACTATGAACTTCAACACCATAATGGAAAAAATATTTTTAAATTGATTTGTTCAAAATTTCATAGGCTTTTAAATAATTATAAATTTTCATAGGCTTTTAAATAATGTATAACATTACTTAGGACTTTTATTTTAAAGATATTAATGTTTTTAAAAAACTCTGTAAAGAGTTGTTATTATTTGGCCGTACCGAAAGAGTTAAACATAATTATTTAAACTTAGTTTTGAAATTTTAGTGAAATTTTTGAAGAATTATAGTATATTATTGCAACTTTTTTTTAGTTTTCTTTTAATAGTTTAATTTTTTTTTAGAAAAAAGTTTACAACAAGCAGTAGCAATTTTGCCTTTTGAATCTGAAGGAGAAGAGTTATCTCTTCATACTGGTGATCGTATAGAAATCATTCGTGAATACCCGAACGGCTGGTCATTTGGTAAACTTGTAGGAAGCCAGCAGAAAGGAATGTTTCCTACAAATTTTGTTGAAATAACAAAATTTGAACAGTTTGTTCCAAGTTTAATCGAAACACATTCAAATGTATTTACATGGGGTAATAACATTAATTTTAATTTAGGTCAAGCAGATTCTAAAAACAGAGTTCATCCAGACCAAGTGCAAGATTTAGTAGATATAATTGATGTTGTGATAACTAAGTTTCATGCAGTGTTTTTGAGCAAAGCTGGCCAAGTATTTACATGTGGGCATGGTTTAAATGGCCGATTAGGTCATAACTCTGAAGAAACAGTTCTTCACCCTAAACTTATTGAAGGTTTAAAAAATCAGAAATGTATTAATATCAAGGCTGGTGACCATCACACTGTTGTTCTTGATGAACTAAAGCAGGTTTATACATTTGGATCAAACCAATATTGTCAGTTAGGCCATGTACCTCAACCAAAGAGTTGTTTATATCCAAAAGAACTAAGTAATAAACTTTTCAAAAATAAAGAAATTATTGGGATTGCAGCTGCTTGTTTTCATACCATAGTGTATACAAGCTACGAGTTGTATACATTTGGTCTAAATGCTGGTCAGTTAGGACACTCAAAAGGAGAAAAGTACCAATGCTCTCCAAAACTTGTCAGTTCTTTGTTAAACAAAGAAACTCGAATTTTACAAGTATTGGCAAGTGATGGTGCATCTTTATGCTTGATGACAAATGGGGACTTGTATATAATGCAAAATTTTATTTGCAGAAAAATTGCCACTAAAATGGTTGACGTACAGTCTTTACAAATGAATGGTGGAATTTTAGAGTTTGAATCTTCAAAGATAGAAAATCCTTTACAAATTTGTGTTTTGTATGGTTCAGGAATGGTATGAAGTAATATATATATATATATATATATATATATATATATATATATATATATATATATATATATATATATATATATATATATATATATATATATATATATATATATATATATATATATATATATATATATATATAAATGATGTTTTATACAAGGCTAAATTCACAATAATTTTTATAAATGCTATAACAAATTTTTACAATTCAATAACAAATAGTACTAGTAATTAAACAAATAGTACTCATTATAAAGTTAATATTATTTGTTAAACAAATAATACTATTCATTAAACAACTAGTATTAGATCCTCATAAAACTTTGTCATTTAATATACTATTTGCTATTTGTTCCACTATTTTTTAAAATCCAGTTTAAAGTTCAATAATCTGATTTTAGTTTCTTATTTTTTTTAATGACTACTAAAAAAATAATTCCCTTTGGACATTATTAGCAATTTGTATAATTCATTCTACAGGGTGACAACCATAAAGTGAAACACATAAAGTAAGCTATATTTTCAAATTTAAGAGTTATATTTATTCGAAAGTGGTATCAATAGAAAGCTACAAGTGTATTTAACAAGTTTTATTGGTTTAATTCGAACCTGTCGCCCTCTGCTTTTATGCAGGCTCGACATCTCTTGAAAAAGTTTTCACACGCGGCACGCACGGTTTCTTGTGGCATTTTGTCCCAAATGTCGATCAAAAGTTCCTTGAATTGGTCCAAAGTTGTTAATTTATGCTTCCCCAGTTCTTGTAGCATGTATCCCCAGACAAAGAAATCAAGGGGATTGAGGTCAGGACTCGAAGCAGGCCATTCTTTGGTATCGATAAAATCTGGGAAATTTTGCTTGCAGTAATCTTGAACAACAATAGCCTTGTGTGCAGGGGCAGAATCTTGCTGGAACACCCATGGATCATCACCATACATTTCTTTAGCCTTTGGTTCAATCAAATCTTTGATCACATTCTGTAAGTAGTATTCTTTGTTGATTTTCACCCCTCTATCGATAAATTTCAGAGGAAATTTCCCCTTTTTCGAGATGGCCCCGAATACCATGACCGCCGAAGCGTTCTGATAACGAGGGACAGTTCTAACGTTTAAAGGAACATCAGAGAGCTTTACAGCATAAACTCTGTCATTTTGTCTGTTCAACGGGCGCTCCAAAGTAAACATTTTCTCGTCCGAAAAAACAATATCTGCACCACCGTTCCGCTTCAATAGCGATTTGCAACGCTTGACTCTTTCCACCTTGTTTTTGTCAGTGAGACCGGCAATTTTTTGTTTACGGTAGCACTTAAGTCTTAAATCTTGTTTTATAACCTTTTGCATAGAGGTATATGACATGTTCAGCTCTTTAGCTAGCTGCCGACCTGAGCGAGCAGGATTTCTTCGTAAACGTTCTCTTACCACTTTGATGATTGCTGGAGTGCGCTTGACGCGCTTTCTTTTTCTAGTTTTAGCTGGAATTGTTTGCCCAGTAGTTTTGTAACGAGAAATTGTTCGACTAATCAATGATTTGCTGGCTTTTATATCATTTAGGCGTCTCCAAATATCAGCTTGACTTAAATTTTTTTTGTGTAATGAAATTATCAGCTCCCTGATAGGATTTAGATCTGTATTTTTCATACAATCCCTCATTTTTTCTTCCTCAAATTTTTATAACTTTTTCTAAACAAATGTCAAAACAAACTGTAAACAAGGGGAAAGTCATATGGTACGGGGTTAATAAATGATTGGGGTTCGAAAATGTGTTTCACCTTATGGTTGTCACCCTGTAGACATTATTAATGTTTGAAACACAAATAATTCCGTTAAGTTATTATATCCGTACAAAGGAATTTATGTGAGAATGCAGGTAAAATATGTAATGCTAAACGTAAAAATCATAAATTAAACAACAATTAATATAGATTATTTAGTATTCATAAGTTATTTTTTTAAAAGATTTTTAGAAATTTTTAGAAAAAATCATTATAATATGAAAAGTTGAAAAAAATTCTAAAAAAGTTGAAAGTTGAAAAAAAGTGTCAACTTCCTTTAATAATCTGAACACCTGTGTTAAATTTAAATTGGTTTCACAGCATGTCTCTAGTCTAATTTCTGGAATTTATTCTGTTGCATTTACAAACTCTGCTTTAAGTTCCTAATATTTTTTCAAAAATTCAGGCACAATTGGTTACTTGATGTTTGGTAACTTAGTGCTAATTCTTTATCCATTACTACATTGAAAATTCTGTCAAGGTTCCAGTGTTGACAACTAAAAAGTTGCAGATATCCTTCTCCAAGGACATTCTGTACAGTTGAGCAACTCATCCATTATTTTTCACTGGTTGTATCAGCATTTCTATTTCACTGGTTGTATCAGTATTTCTATTTCACTGGTTGTATCAGTATTTCTATTTCACTGGTTGTATCAGTATTTCTATTTCACTGGTTGTATCAGTATTTCTATTTCACTGGTTGTATCAGCATTTCTATTTCTAAAATCAAGATAAATCTTCAGATTAATCAGTTCCACAAGTTTTCATCCAAAACTTTTGCAATTCCTACAGCATTAGTTTTAGCCCCGATGTTTTTTAAACGCAATATTTCTTACTTTAATTTGTTTCTCTTGTTTTCAATTACCATGTTCTGATATTCACTTTTTTCTATATGATTGCATTCATCATGACAAACTTATTTAACTTCTCAATCATTTTAGTAATAAATTTAGCAGCTTTTCTAAATGTTGGCTTTTAATTTGCTGTTTGACTTAAATTATCAATGTCATCATCTAGGATTTTTTGCAGATTTTAGCAGCTTTATTTGTTGATACTTTTGCGGATGTCACTAAGTTGGTTCCATTTTTATTTTTATTTCTTCATATTCACAATCTGCAGGCTTACTAGCACTAGATGCTTGGTTGTAAAATGTCAATATCATCTCTTTGAAGGGTAAATGGTTTCGTTATTCTTCACTTTACCTGTTGAGTACCTGACTATCTAGGTAGAACATGGGCAAGAGTGCCCCTACATTAACTAAGGCTTAGGGTTGGGGCAGCCAAAAAAAATCGGCAAATGTATATCTATATATGCTAAAGTAGATATGTTAGTGTTTGGAAATGTATATCTGTGTTAGGAAAATTCCTTTTTAAAAGGATTTTGTTACATTCCCTGTTAGTTTCATAAAATAAGGACTTTGTTGAGTTCCTTGCTCCTTTTTCAAAAAAGGAACTCATGTTTATGACATTAATAGAGCGAATTTATTGTTAAAAAAATATTTTCAATTTGTATATCATAGGTAAGGTTCCATATTGTTTTGTTTTGTGTTTTTAAATAAACCTCTACTATGTTATGATTTTTTTCAGCAATGCTATTTAACATATTTTGTTTATTACATAATGATAAATACTTGCTCATTGCTTTCTTATAAATTTTCTTAAAATTAGTTTCTTAAATCTGTACGATTTTCTTCATATTTTTGATAGCCTATGAATGGAAAATCTAAAGTGTTGTGGTAACTAAAAAATTAAGTCACTCTTTTCTTGTTCAAATGATTGTTAATGTTCAAATTTCATACAAATTTATAGTCTCATCAAATAGTCATTGCCATTTGATGAGACTATAAATTTGTATGAAATTATAACATCATTCTCATCATTGTCATCTTCCTTATTATATGAATTTTTTGTAATTGGATATCATTTAAAATCTAAAGTTTATTATCATGATAAACAACTTTAAAATTAAAAAAAAAAATCTTTTCTGTAAAAATCAATAATTGGAACCACTGTCTATTGTTGTAGCAACTATCTTGTTTTGTATTTTATAGGCCATTTTGGTTATAATAATAACTTATACAAATTTCAAATTAATAATAAACTATAATAATAGCTTATACAAATTATAAAATAATAGGTTATAATTTATTTATTTTATAGTTTGTATTATTTTATAGATTCTATAAATCTTAAACAAAACAAAAGATGTCTTCTTTTTCTATGATTACATGCTAAAGATACTAATTTACACTGAAGAGAATTTTGTTTGATCCAATAGCAAATATCTCAATAAAATTCAAATTCTCAAATGAACTCAGGTTTTTTCTTTTTAAAAAAAGTAATTTTTTTTTACCCTAAACTATAGGTTTTTTAAAAAAAGCTATTTTAAATGGATGAATTCTTTGATGAAAGAAAAACAAAAAGTTTAAATCATTTTTTTAAAAATTTATTGATTAACTTTTGTCAATAAGTAAATAAAATTTGAAACTTCAAAAAATACTTTTCTTTATTCAATATGTTGTAATTAGGGAAATTACATGTTTATCAATATATGCCGATGCATTTATTCAAGTTATATCAAGTTACATCAATAATTTGTCTTTTAGTTGTATAAGGTACATAAGTATCATAATATGCATACTATGTATATATTCTATTTCATACATAATTCAAAACAAATTAATTGAAATAAATTTAAAATATTAACTTATTTTAATTATAACATTTACCTTAAAGGGATCCCCAAGTGCTAAGACAAGTTAAATAAAATGTTTGAAAAAAACTTTAGGCTAATTTTTTTTGATTAAAAATACATAATAAATGTATATAAATAAAACTAAAATTATTTAGTACAAACTTACCTTCTACATTTTTTCTTGGTTTGTAGAGTCTTTATAATATATGGTGCAATCTGCAGATTTTTCATTATTTAAAACAGTTTTAGTAAATAACATCATTGTAGAATTTTTTTTTTCAAAATATATTTCTTCTGCCACAATCAGCAAATCATATTTATTTGTGTAACTTTTCACTAAATTTCAAAAAATGTTTGTAATACAATTTAAAATAAAAACAATGTGTTTAATTCGTAAATCCTAAGGTTTATTTTTAAATTAATGCATCTTTTATAATAGATATTTTATAAAAGATAAAGAAAAAGATTTTATAAAATTTTATAAAAATATATAAATTTTTATACTCGTTTTGATTTTTTAAAATAAGCTATTTTTATTGAT